AACTCGACTGATACAATGTTGCTTGGAAACTGTGTGTAAGAGTCCTTAACTCGACTGATACAATGTTGCTTGGAAACTGTGTGTAAGAGTCTTTAACTCGACTGATACAATGTTGCTTGGAAACTGTGTGTAAGAGTCCTTAACTCGACTGATACAATGTTGCTTGGAAACTGTGTGTAAGAGTCCTTAACTCGACTGATACAATGTTGCTTGGAAACTGTGTGTAAGAGACCTTAACTCTTTGTCCCCCCCCCCCACCTCCAACAGATTTTATGGCATCTTTCTTCTCAAGACAACATAGCCGTTTCGCATTATCTTAGTCACCCCCCACAAGACAGGAAAACTTAAAAACAACGTTAGTAGATGTTCTTGTTTCAACTAAGTAAGACCTTATGCAAGTTTACAATTGTCTAATTTTAAATGTGTCTCTATGGTTTAGACCTCTTCAAAGCATCCGCATAAAGAAGAGTTAATCTAACTCGGCATGAGGCTGTAGGGATGGATATTGAGGAAGATGATTTAAGGAGGCTTCCAATGACGCATGCGACAGCCTTTGCTAGCCAGAATGGATGTTGAATTGACATTTGTCTTATGAAGCGGAAGCTGACTTTGAATTTGTCATCTATCACGGTGAACGGCTATAAATGGCACTCGGCTTCGGCTTCGACGGATCGTTATGTCCTTACTCGAACTTCCTATCTCTGACTTACTCGGCTCGAAGCATGCCCGAGATCGGCAGAAACGAGCGAATGTAAACGTGAAATGAAAAGAAACGAGACCTGGCCAACTTGACCTCTCCGCGAACGAGCAGATCAAGAAAGTTAATCGCGATTGAAGAGCATTTTCTCCCCAGTCGAATTGCAAAAGGAAGGAACGCACACGTAAACAGATATTAATCGGCTGGCATAAATACAAATCCTAGCTTTTAATATAGATGGCGCAATACATAAGCGAATAAAAATGTACAAGATTATCCACTTTTAAGATTTCATACACTTGTTTATATAAGACTTAAAAAGAGCGTAAGAACTGACAGAAACTATTGATATATCCAAACTCTATAATTTACCGATGAACTTCAGCTGCTAATAAAATATTGCTCTTTTTTAGATTATCATCTAAGGAACATTAACAATCATTTAGAAAATAATTTGTAATAAAACATTGCCACTATTTAAACTCTGATTTGAGCGATGAGGTTGGTTTTGAATATACAGACTCTGATCTGAACAATTTCAGCGGAAGTGTGTTGAAAATAGTGTTAGTTTTTAACAGAATATATACAGACTCTGATCTGAACAATTTCAGCGGAAGTGTGTTGAAAATAGTGTTAGTTTTTAACAGAATATATTCAGACTCTGATCTGAACAATTTCAACAGAAGTATATAGAAAATAGTGTTAATTTTTAACAGAATATATACAGACTCTGACCTGAACAATTTCAACGGAAGTATATTGAAAATAGTGTTAGTTTTTAACAGAATATATTCAGACTCTGACCTAAACAATTTCAACGGAAGTATATTGAAAATAGTGTTAGTTTTTAACAGAATATATTCAGACTCTGACCTAAACAATTTCAACGGAAGTATATTGAAAATAGTGTTAGTTTTCAACAGAATATATACAGACTCTGACCTGAACAATTTCAACGGAAGTATATTGAAAATAGTGTTAGTTTTTAACAGAATATATTCAGACTTTGACCTAAACAATTTCAACGGAAGTATATTGAAAATAGTGTTAGTTTTTGATAGAATATATTCAGACTCTGATCTGAACAATATCAACGGAAGTATATTGAAAATAGTATTAGTTTTTGATAGAATATATTCAGACTCTGACCTGAACGATATCAACGGAAGTATATTGAAAATAGTGTTAGTTTTCAACAGAATATATACAGACTCTGACCTGAACAATTTCAACGGAAGTGTGTTGAAAATAGTGTTAGTTTTTAACGGAAGTATATTGAAAATAGTGTTAGGTTTCAAGAGAATATATACAGATACT